CCTGCTTAACTTCCAACATCTGATGAGATCAGGCTACCCGGGGCCATCCAGGTCAGGGCGATAGTGGACTAGAAGACTCTTCATCTGATCCAGCATGTGCCTGATGTTCCCAGTTGCAGGTGTGTTTGGTTGTCTGTTTTAATGCTACAACCAAAGATTTTAAAGGGTTGAGTAATCAAATTAGGCACACGCCTGTATAAACCTGCCTTAAATGTTATCTGTTATTACCATCATCACAGTGACTTCACTACTTAAACATTTTTGTTCCAGAATGGAAAAGAATTTCCATCGCAGACACCGTTGTGGGGAGGGGAAGAGGTCTTCCCCCAACAGAATTATTTAATGCCACATATATTTAGATTCGTTTTTGGTTCCAAGTCATGCTGACAAGTGAACAAGTGTGGGCTGAAAGAGTGCCTTTCAGGCATATGTTGATTATGCAAAGAAAAACTTGCCTTTTCGGGATATGTTATGGAAACTCTGGAAGTCTATACAGTGGGTGGATAACTTGATGTGACGCGAAAAGCCCTTAGCCCTTTCAATGATTGTGCATTATTCCTGCCCAATGCATTCGGCCTCAGGAATTCCATAAGAGACATCCATAGGAGAAAAACAAAGCCTTGCCACCCACTTGGGTCAGCTGTTTTGCAGAACGCATTCACATAACCTCTTCAGCATGGCATTAGCAGCAGGAAACTCCTACACATTTAAGCCTGTGGCTGATAATATATCTGTTGGACAAGAGTCAGGTTTTGACATGCAAATTCAGCGGTAGGCTGGCCTTCTGAGCTGCTAGGTCACCGTCTGGTGGTCGAGACCTGCATCACCCAAAAAGCAAAGGGGACGCACCAAATTCACAGGGGAAAACCTGGAGGTACATGCATACTTTGAGGCCCACACCCACAGATGATGTAGTTTGAACTACTTGATGCACTCCAACTGAAGCATCTGTTTGATGCACATTTGGTGATTTCCATTTTTGAGGGTTGCCCTCTCCAGGACTTATCAAGCAGATCTGCTTTGTCGAGTGCCACCATATATCACACACCCACAACTGAGCCTATTTCCCTATGGTGGTAAGAATTTTGCGCTTGTTTGAGGTTTGGCTGGGAAAGTAGGAAATGTTCTGCAACTGCACACACTTCCACAGATGCCAGATGTACCAGATAGATAGACGGATGGATGGATGGATGGAAGGCAGGCAGGCAGGCAGAGGTTGGATCAGGAGGGCCATTAGCCAGTCTGGGTCTTAAGTTCAAAGGGGGTCTCAAATTTAGAGACCTGTGAATTCTTTGGCTTTTGAAAAATTTTGCATCTTTTTTTTTTGCTCACTAAGTGTTCTGTTTTTAAAATTACAGGGGGGGGGGGGTTGCCATCAAGGTGCAGCCTACTTATGGCAGCCCTGTAGTTTTCAAGGCAAGAGACGTTAAGGGGTGGTTTTCCATTCCTGGTCTCCACGTAGCCTGGCTTCCTGGGTGGTCTTCCCATCCAAATACTGACCAGGGCCAGTCCTGCTTAGCAGCTGAAATCTGGTGAGACTGGGCTAGCCCTAGCCTGGGCCGCCAAGGTGAGGGCAGTTACAGCCAGGAGCCTCAAAAGCTGAAAGTGGCCCAGGCCTCTCTAAGGAACCACCGCTTGACCTACAGGACCTCTGACACCATGCGGCATAACTCGTGAGCACGCTCTGCAGCTACTTAAATACATAGAACTGCCTCCCCTCCCTAGCTAGGCTGTTTTGTTGGAAGTTATTAGCAGTTCCGCTCTGGAGGGTTGTTGTTTTTTTGCCGTAATTGGCACTATCGGAAATAGGGGGCCAGATGGGTGAAAGGTTGTCGCCTGGATGAGTTTTTAGCCTGTTAAAAAAAAGTTACCAAGGCAACTGGCCCAGCAATGACATGGGAGCGTATTAGTGCCCCATCTAGGACACCCTGTTGCTTAGCTACTGGCCGTGAGTATGACATTTCTGCAGATGACTCACCCCATTAGTGTAATTCAAAGCAAATATTTTGCACTCTGATTTCGGATCACAGCTGGTGGGCCCATAAGTGTAGTCTTGACTTGAAATAGAGCCAGTTGGTAGCGACTTTCCTTCTCTCTCTTGACCTTTTCCAAAACAGGCTGCGTCAAAATGTGGCCTTGAACAAATCGTTCTGCGTATTTGAAAGCACTGTGGGGGATTAAAAGGGGAAAGCACAGCTGTGTGGCAATGCTGTATGGGCTTCCCAAGATCCAGCGTTTTGTGAGCCTTTGGAACTCTTTAGAACCCTGAGGTTCCCAGCTTTCTGTTGACAATGACGTTTCTAGTCATTCTGAGTGTAGAGATGACAGCAGTATAGTCAGTTGGAACTGGGGGGGGGGGAAATCAAGGAGAGGGCCAAATTCCTTACGTCTTTCAGTTTCGTCCTTCCTAACTGTGTATATCATAAACTGCTTCAGGTTTTTCTCATCTAAGAGGAGCGATTTTAAAATGTCTGGGCAACATTCGAATGGCTGGTCCTTATCCTTAAAGCCCTAAATTGCTTGGGACCAGGGCAAGGTGGGTGGGAGTGGGGGTCTCCTCTCATGAATCCGCCTGTTCATTAAGAGCTCATCAAGAGCCCTCCTTCAGAGGCAAGGTGGGCGGCTATGAGAGACTGGGCCTTTTTCTTTCAAGAGCGTAAGAATAGCCATGGTCCATCTAGTCCAGCTTCTTGCTTCCCAAAGTGGCCGGTTGGATGCCACAGGGAGTCCCACCGGCAGGGCCCGCTGGTACCAGTCCTCCCGTCAGATAATTCTGTAGCACCTGAAGACAAGACATATTCTGCCTCTGACCCCGGAGGATCCATTCATCTATTGGGGAGGGGCCACGGCTCAGTCGTAGAGCGTCTGCTCGGCACTCAGAAGGCCCCAGGTGCAATCCTAGGGTTGCCAACCTCCAGGTGGTGTCTGGATATCTCCTGGGATTACAACCAATGTTCCCTCTAAGTTGAGTTAGTGTGAGCTAGCTCACAGCTTTTTAGCTTCCGGCTCACACATTTTTGTCTTAGCTCAGGAAGGAGGGCTCCAGAGCAAATGAATGCATGCAGTACTCAAATCGTTCGCGCAAAACTTTTACGCCAGTAGCTCACAAAGTAGAATTTTTGCTCACAAGACTCCACAGCTTAGAGGGAACATTGATTACAGCTGATCTTCAGGCGACAGAGATCAGTTCCCCTGGAGAAAATGGCTGCTTTGGAAGGTGGACTCTATGGCATGATACCCTATTGAAGCCCCTCCCCTCTCCAAACCCTGCCCTCCTCAGGCCCCACTTCCAGAATCTCCAGCTATTTCCCCACCCAGAGCTGGCAGCCCCAGGGGTCATTGGGGGGGGGGACGTGGGGGGACGCCATCCCCCCGGGTGAAGTGCGGGAGGGCGGGGCCTGGAGCTCCCTGCTGGTGCCCGCTGGAGGTCGCCACCGGCTGTGGGGAGGACACACTTCTGGTGATGTCAGGGGGTGTGGCATATGCTAATGAGTTATGCTAATGAGTCCCCCTAGCTCTTTTTCTACGAAATGACCCCTGGGCAGCCCTATTCATTCACCGTCATCTCCAGTCAAAAGGACAAGGTCGTCGGTGATGTGAAAGACCTCTCCCTAAGACCCTGGAGAGAGCTGCTGCCAGTCTGATTAGACAATACTGACCTTGATCAACCAAGAGTCTGATCCAGGGTAAGGCAGCTTCATGTGATTGTAGCTAAGAGCCAACAATGGACCTATCCTCTATAAATCTATCCAGCTTCCTTTTAAATCCATCGAAGCCAGTGGTCTTCACCACATTTTGTGGCAAGGAGTTCCACAACCTGTTTCGTGAATCAATACTTCATTTTGTCTGTCTTGAATCTAGTGCCATTTAGTATTGTAGGGAGAAAAGTTTCTCTCTCCACCATGCATAATTTTGTAGATCTCTGTCATGTCTGACTTAAATAATTTTCCAGAGGCGTTAGAACAGGGGACAGTTCTATTGGCAGCTGTTAGCCATGATGCCAAATGAAACCTCTGCATTTAGAGGCAGTGCACCACTGAATACCAGTTCCTAGGTCCAGACCTGTTTGTGGGCTGCCCAGAAGCATTGAAATGGGATGTACAACTAGGTCAAGCCTTGATTTGATTCCCCAGAGCTGCTCATTTATTTTTTGAGGTTGAATTGGAGCAGAAGATGAAATGGGTCTAATTGCTGATAAGGATGCCAGCCTCCAGGCGGGATCTGGGGATCCCCTAGAATTACAACTGATCTCCAGACTGCAGAGATCTGGGAGAACATGGATGCTTTGGAGAATGGACTATATGGCATTGTACCCCACTGAATTCCCTCCCCAAGCTTCATCCCAAAATCTCTAGGGGTTTCCTAACCTAGAACTGGCAACCCTACCCCGCCAGTGGCCAAGGGGGACATGGCAACCCCATTGTGGAACAACACTGGGCTGCTTTGGTTGCCTTGTCTACACATGGGCCTCATGGCATTTGATAGTCATCACCAACATTTTGTCATAGAGTGTCTTAAACATCTGGCTATCTCTGCTTCGGGAGCTGCGGTGGCTCAAGTGGTTAAGACGCTGAACTGCAGGCTGTGGAAGGTCGGTAGTTCAGCAATTCGAGACCCGAGTGTGCCGCATGACGGAGTGAGCTCCCGTCTCTAGTTCCAGCTCCTGCCAACCTAGCAGTTCGAAAGCAAGAAATTGCAAGTAGATAAATAGGTACCACTTCAGTGGGAAGGTAACAGTGTTCCGTGCGCCTTGGTGTTTAGTCATGCCGGCCACGTGACCACGGAAATGTCTTCGGACAGCGCTGGCTCTTCGGCTTTGAAACGGAGATGAACACCGCAACCCTAAAGTCAGATTCGACTGGCTTTCGAGCAAGGGAACTTTTACCTTTACCTATCTCTGCTTCATGGATACAGGGAAACAAATTTCAAGACTTTTGCAAATGTATCCGATCTAGTCCCATGCAGCTGAAGAATGGTCATTTTCTCTTTCTGTTTTCCAGAAAACCTGGATGCAATGATAGCTCTGCAGACAAGGAAGAAACTTGAGAAGCCCAGTACTAAAAGCAAGCTGGCAGGTATTTGTTCTGTT